TGGGCAGATGCAAGATTAGCCCATCAGGTATTACCCTCAATAGTCTTACACTTAACCTCTCAGCCCATAATGATCAAACACTGCCCGACAAAAGAGGACCTCTCCCTCGGCTGCAAGGAACAGTGCTGCATTCTCTGCTCACATGGATCCCGGGAATTAAAACTTTTTGCAAACGTTTAGAAATCGTAATATATATGTATATCAGTATATAAATATATTTTGCAAAACAAAATTTCAACGATTGAAATCGGTTGCCGGCAGTCTTGGTTTCCATCAGAGAGAGTGGATCCCCGATCATTACCTTTGTCCGAAGTTTGGGAGTTTCTGTTGGAAAACAATCCTGGAAAGGGTCAACACTTGTGATCTTCTTCAGAAAAAGAGGCCTACGAGTTGTTTATCTCCCCACAGGTGTGTTCTATGCAAGGCTGAAGGTGAGACTRGTTGTCATTTACTGATTTCCTGCTCTGTTACTAATCACATTTGGGAGTGGTGTTCATCTTTGTTTGGGTGCAGATGGTCTCCTCCATCAGATGTACAAAGACTTTTTGCTCTATCCTTGTTTATCTGGTTGAAAAAAAAGAGGAAGAGTTATGTAGAGATATCTCAGGGCTGCCGTTTGTTGGACTATTTGGGAAGAAAGAAATGGGAGGATTTTCTCAGATAGGGAAAGAAGACTGCTAGAAATTCTRGAGCTGATTCAGATCAGAGTGGTACATTGGCTGAAGTCTTTCGCTCTTTTTAAGGACTTTTCAGTGGATGATTTGTTCAGAAATTGGAAGGAAATTGCAAGTTCAGCTCCAGTTAAAGACACATCCTTACCCTCTTGGACTCCTAGTGGTTTTATCAAACTTAATTTTGATGGAAGTAGCATGGGTAATCCGGGTCCATCAGGTATTGGGGGTGTCTAAAGAAATGAGGAGGGAGTGACAATTGCTCTCTTTTCGGGGCCAATTAGATTGGGTGATTCTCTTAAAGCTGAGATTTCAACTGTTATTGAGGGAACTCAAAGGGCAATCGAACTGAATATCACCAAATTGGTCATAGAAGGTGGTTCTAAACTGGTAGTGGATTGGCTGAGAAATGATACTGCTAATTTTTGGAACTACAGCAATGAGAAGAGGAAATTTAATTGGTTAACCAAGAATATTGAGGTGAAGATTAGTTGGGTTAAAAGAAGTGCCAACTCCTTTGCTGATGGGTTAGCTAAACAAGGGGCATCTAGGGACTCTTTGTTCTGGGCTATCTTGTAATT